GTATGGAACTTTTTATGGAGATGGTACTGCATAGAAATGCAGATTTTAAAGTCATACTTGCCAAGTTTGAATTTGGCTTTGCCATCTACCGCCTTGTGGTCTTGAACAAAGTACTTCTACTTCCTTGCTCTATTTCTTTATCTATAAAATGATAGTACTAACTTCACAGCATTATGAGAATTTTGTAAGGCAAGGCTGATGTTTAGGTAATATCCAACTGTTAAGACTGTACTGGTGATCAAAATATTAAAATATGTACATATGAGTTGGTATATAGCTACTTCCAGTGCCCTCCACCACCTCTTTCCTGGGACACCCTGGACCTTCCCATGATCCAGCTGAAAGGACATAAGATGGAGTCAATATACCCAGTAAGCAGTCTTTTGTTTGTTTGTTTGTTTAGTTGGAGTCTCACTCTGTCACCCAGGCTGGGGTGCAGGTCACCCCAGCATAGACCTGCTGTTCTGTGGCGATCCTTCCGCCTTAGTCTTCCGAGTAGCCAGAACTACAGGTACGTGCTACCACGTCTGGCTAATTTTTAAATTTATTTTAGAGACAAGGTTTCGACAAGCTGCCCAGGCTGGTCTGGAACCCCTGAGCTCAGGCAATCCTCTCACCTTGGTCTCCCAAAGTGCTGGGATTACAGGCTGAGCCACTGAGCCCAGCCATGAGCAGTCATTTAACACTGCTTAGCTTTGTCATGTTTTTCTAGCAGTTCACTTTAATTTACCCTGTAATCACTGGCCAAGGATAGAACCAGTTTCTTAGAGGATCCACTGATAATTGTTTTACAACCTGCTCCCCAGCTTAATTTAGAAACACATAATACACATAATAGATATTTAATAGATATTTATCAAATTTGTTTATCCTATAGATTCAATCTATGGATGTAGAAAGGGAAAGGCCCTCTACTGGGTGACATCCATTTATTCTATATATGAGGGGAGACCTAAACAAATTAGAAGTTACTTTCAAAATTGTGTATTTACTCTTACATGTTTAAATTCCAGTCACTTTCAAAGTATTCTCTGTGTGATGTAATACACCTATTGAGACACTTTTTCCACTGTTTAAAAGTTTTTGAATTTGTCAATTTGATGGCTTTTAGTACTTCTGTCATTTTTTGTTTCACCTCTTCCACACTGACAAAACATTTCCTTTTGAGGACTTTTTTCATCCAAGGGAAAAAAAAAATCACTCAGCACAAGATCAGGTAAATAGGAAGGGTTGGGCACGGGGTCATGCTATTTTTAGTCAAAAATTGCTCAACACTCAGCGTAGTATGGGCAGGTATGTTGTCATGGTAGAAGAACCAGTCACCTGTCTGTCACAACTTGGGACGTTTTTTCTGCAAGTAGTGATATAACCTTTTCAAAACTTCCAGATAAAAACTTTGGTTGACTGTTTGACCTGGAAGAACAAATTCCAAGTGCACTACAAGGGGCCCACCTTTCAAAAAACAATTTTGGTTTTTTTGGGCCCCCCGCTTGTATGTTTATTGGGGTATACTATCATTGCATGTCTAGTTATTTGCCCTTAGGTGGAATTTGTTTGCTTCTCCGCCACCTCCAAGTAGTACTGATATATGGCTAAGATAAAATTGATCCTTTGGGCACAAATTAGGAACAAGGTGTTAAGAGGTAGACCTTTCACTGTGGATAAGCAGAGGAGTTAAATGTTCAAGCATCAATGTGGGTCAGAGTCTTTTATGAATTCTGGCCTCCTTGGCTCAACTCTATGTGATTGCCCAGTATGATAAGACAGGCCAAAAGCTACTTGGAGATCCTGACCTCTGGGCTTGTTTCTCTTTTTGAGTGCTCCCATATATCTGCTCTGGGGTTGCCCCAGAGGGATTTAAGAGAAGAAAGATCACCTAGGCTGGCCTTGATTACTCAAGAGAGTTCTCTAAACTCTATGTGAACCCAACTTAGCTTACTAAATTTAAGATTCACAGAGGGGATTTGGCTGTAGTAGCTTTAAATCATAGCTTCAAAATTCTCTGATACTCCTCTTATTAAGGAGTAGGGACTATGTACCTTTTTGAATTTGAGCTCTATGCCTGATTGACTAAAAGAACATGGTGTCATACTGTAAGAAGAAACCCAGGCAGCTGGGCATGGTGCCTCATGCCTGTAATCCCAGCACTTTGGGAGGCAGAGGCAAGAGAACTGCCTGAGCTCAGGAGGTTTGAGACCTGCCTGGGCAACATGGCGAGACCTCATCTCTAAAAAAATTTAAAAAAAGAAGAAGAAACGCAGGCAACCCATGGTCCCTAAGGGTGAGGGTTTCTACAATTGAGGAGGAACCAAGAACATTTTAAATACAGTGTATTTTCCACTTTCTCATCTTTACACCAAAATAAAGTATTTGATACGCACAAGAGAAAAAACAAACCAAAACAAAACCATGGTCTTGGCTGGGCTCTCAACCAACAACTAACACAAAACTGTCAACCATGTGAATGAGTCTTTCCAGAGTGCACAGCAGGGAGACGGATGGGTCAGTCACATGATGGTTACCATGTTGATGGAGTCTGTGCCATGGTCAAGTAGGGCTGATTGGGTTAACTTGTTTACCAAATAGGTTGGGGAGGGGGCTGTAAAGTAATTATCAATAGCTACCTCTGAAAAACTGGTTCTATCCTAGGTTAATGATTAGACAGTAAGTTAAAGGTAAACACATGTCCTTTCTCTTAAGGCACCCATGCCTGTTGGGCATGTCTTTTTATTTCAAATAAACTCTGTCTTAAACTGTACTCCGGGACTCATTCTGAAATGCTTTCCTGTGGTGAAGTCAAATAACCCATGCAGTAACACACACACTCCACCTGGTATCAAAACTTTGTATCTTCCTGCAACTGTACCATTCTTACAACTTCTATTACAAATAAATGCTTTAAATTTTTTTTTTTTGAGTTGGAGTCTCACTCTGTCGCCCAGACTGGAGTGCAGTG